ACTATGTGCTATATCTCAGAATCTCAACCTGAAAGTAAAATCTTTTCTCTCCATCACTGATTTCTTCTTTGAAATCAATTATGGGACGACCATAATGCAAAACCCCAAGCACGCCAAAAAGAGGATCACTTATCATCATATGCATCACCATCATCACAATTAAATTATTAGTGGATCATACACATATATATTACTCCATCCGGTCTTTAACCTAAAACCCATTTTTTTAGTGTAAATAGGTCTTATATTTAAAATCAGAGGAATAATATTTTTTAACTTTATATTCTATCCATGCATATTGTATAAGGTTAATGGTTATTTTGTTCTAGAAGTATTTACAAAAGAGCTGTAAGCATCTTGACAATAAATAAATAAATAAAAAGATTTTTTTTTATCTCGATACTGCCCCCAAAATGTTAAAAAGGGATAAATGTGTCTTCTGTATGATACGAAGCTTGAGTAACTGCCCTTATCGTTAAAAAGATACTAATATGTAGTCAATATTAGTTTTTCAACAGTTAGGATGACATTATTAATTATTTTAAATTAATAAATTTAGGGTGATATTGAATCAAAAAGAACCTCTGAATACTGATAGTTCCTTCATGAATAATTTTGAGATAAAAAATGACCCTTAACAATATTTTATATTGCAATATATTCTTGAAAATGAATTGTTTAAATTAATTAAATTGCTCAATAGGTGATTTGAAGCTTTGAAATATCTTGTATATACCTTCCCCTTAACCCAGAATTCAAGTACTCTAAACTAATACGCATTATTGTGTGAAAGCAACCTTGCATTTTAACAACTAGTCACATGAATTCTTCAACAACACAATCAAGCCATAAAGATTCATCATAGATACCTACAAACCCTATAATTTTACCTTTTTCCTTCTTTCATATTGCTGTCAACTTTCTTCAATTTCTTCATCATTATACTAACAAGTAAGAAAAAAATTAATGCACTTCTTACATCTTTAGAAACTTACCATGCATAACAAAGAGAATCTGGCTTAAATAGCAAACTTTGCTGCGTTATAAATAACATTTTTCTATTTTTAGAAGCTTAATAAATTGTGGATCAGTTTGATTCCACCTACTGCTACAGAAAAAGATGAGAAAATACTCGTATCTACGAAAGTTATCAAAATAAAATACTCCTCCGGTCCTTAATATAAGACCCTTTTAACTAATTTGATTAGATTAAGGAAGTTGGGTAAGTTAGTTAATTATAAAAAAGTGACATGTTTTTCCTAAAATACCATAATCATCTTTCTTAATACCTCCTCTCCCTCTTCTCCTTGATTATGGTTGAGGGATTATCTATAAGGGTAATTTAGAGAAAATTGATAAATATGAAAAATGGTTCTTACATTTAGGACCAAAACCAACTCAAGAATTGAGTCCTATATTAAGGACCGGAGGAGTAGTAGTTTTAATTTCAATGAAATTTGACTTTTGAGGATAATTTGATTTGCTTTGCCGTTTCTCATCCAATAACAGAGGCACTTTGGCAAATAAGGAGGTTTTTTAAGAGAAATACAGACTCTGAGTCCGTGATTTTTTTTTTAGCATCACAGCTCACAAAGGATAAGAGTACGATCATAGTTATCTAATTTAGATGAAATTTAGATAATTATAGTATGATATGCATGGTTTAGAATATAATTTTATATCTGACAAATTCACAAATACAAAATTAGTATTTGACTTTTGTGTCCATGCAATTATCAACATCAACATTGGAGATTCTTTTTTACCAGAAGTGATTAGTTCTATATTTTTGGATTACCACACTTAATTAATAACAAGATGTGAGAGTATAAAAGTTTCTCATTTACCTACAATAAGTAATGAAAACTGGCAGAACAATGGAGAAATTAGAGTAAAAAGCATGTTCTTATTAGGTAAGGTTGATGAATGAGGGCTTAATACACACACAATCTACCTCCAAGCCCTAATATAATATTTAGTTTGTAGTTCAAACTGAACTACAAACTAGATTTTATGTTAATGACAGGAGGTATTATATATTAAATTTAGATGCTATTTTTTTCCTGAATTGATGTGTGTGTAAAATGATTTTATATTTTGTAAAAAAGGATTTTTATAGGCGAGATATTTTTTTTAAAAGTTTTTTCGCAGTTTTTTAATTCATTAGCAACTTGCATAATTTATATAATGAAAATATAATTACTTATGAATTATTTCATCAGCAAATATAACTACTTAAGAGTTAAATAAGAGGGACTCATCGAGACTTTAATTGTATTGCAGCACTAAGGAAAGGAGTGGATGGAATTGGAAAGGTACTGCTGATTTTATTCTAGTTTCTTAGGATTACCTTTTTCTTCTTTTGGTGAGTTTGTGTGCTAGGTTGATATTTTAATTTTTTTTTTTTTTGGTTATTATGTGAGTTAGCAACAGCGCCATCCCATTTTTGTTTATGTTGTTCGCTCTAGTATAGAATAGTTTTGCTTGTTTGTATTTTAGCCAGCCTTATTTTTGCCGGTTGTTCTACGCACTGTTACTTCTTCCAGTAATGAGATTTCTTAGTTAAAAAAAAAAATTTTGAGTATTTTGTTAATATTTTTTTGGCTTTGGCTATTAGTGTCTGTAATTAAAAATTTTTTGGTATTAATAAAGTGGAGTCTCTTTTATTTAGCAAAAAAAAAACCTAATTAAGACATTTCGAATAAGTATGCACATTTCTCTAAATGTAGTTATATCTGTGTATGTTAGTCTTTTACCTTTTTATTCATAAAAATATCGAAATCAAAGATTACGAATATATTTGTTCTAATTTCGTAAATTTGCATTATTAAATTGCCACCCAAAATATTTTAGAAAATCAGACACGACAATTTAACAAGATCCATATATCTTCGATATAATAAATCCGTATGAATACACACTGATTAGTTCTTTGATCAGCAATATGATTGTTAACTACTAACCATTAACATAAACCATAATATTTAAAAAAGATGCATTATTTATAGGTACATAATATTAATAAAAAATATAACAAATTATACTATTATAAATAATCAACAACTAGTATGGCTCGTTATCCATATCATGCAGGAGAGCAACCTAAGTTGGAGTATGCATAAAATAATTATTTCATCAAAATGAAATTGAGTGGAGATAATGATAGTTATATTAATTAAATAAATTGCTTGGGGGATTAAAAACGGCACGTCGCCATATAAAATTGGAAAATTTGAACCCATAAGCAGTTAAAACGTGATTTAGTTTTCTTGCAAAAGTTGGGTTGGACAAATCAGCATTTGCTCAAATATATACGAAATTAAACACGCAATGCGACATTATCATAATCTTCTATTTTTAATGTTTATATTTATTTAAAAGCGAATCGATATTATTATTAGTATCATCATTGTTGCTATTTCTTCTTCTTCTTTTTCTGCCAACAGGTATTATTATTTCATTGTTTGCAACTAGAGTTAATATTTAACAATAGTAGCATGTAAGTTTAGAAATATTTAATACTACTAGAACTTTAAAACCTTGACAAAGGGACAGGGATCGGGTATATATCGCGATAATACTCATTACTTTCCTATATACTACCTCCGGTCATCAATATAAGATCTCGTTTAACTTTTATTTTCATCTTAAATACAAGATCTCAATCCACTTCATCTCTCATATTTATATATTTTTTTTCCAGGATAATCCTTTTAATAATTGTAGTTCTAGCCAATACACTTGATTAATAAGAATATTTCAGAAAAGACAACACTTATTTATTACAAATAACTAACTCAACTTATTTTCTTAATATACTCAAATTAGTTAACTAACTCTTATATTTAAAACCGGAGGTAGTATAACATATAACAGGAGAACAGTAGGTCAAATTTTTTATATTTATTATGTTAAGTTCTCTAATCACATATGGTCATGCATCCTATTATTGAAGTATTATTATTTAATTATAAATCTATATGAAAAATATAGGACATATGGTTATGTGTGACTGAAAAACTTGATATAATAAATATAAAAAATATTAATGTAATTATTATTCTAGATATATATGTGTTTGTTTGGAAGGCGTTTATTAAGATATTATTAAATAAATGAGTTTAAATAAACGATACTAAACATTTGAAATTATTGAAAAAAAATGGAAATTTATAGTCATCAAATTAGTTAACTTTATGATATGATCTAAATGAATCAATTTAGCAATATGCCAAGACAATTAAAAATATACATTGTTAAAATTATTTTTTGATAAAGATAAGTGTTTAAATGGTTATTAACTACTACCTCCAATTCTAAATATAAGAGTTAATTTATAGTGTAATTTACACTATAACTTATCTCTTATATTTAAGACCAGAACTAATAATATTTTTATAAAAAAAGATATTTTGATCAAAACAAAAGGTGAATGTTGTTGTTTAACATTGGAGGAACAGAATTGGATGTATGAAAATGAAATATTAAAATTTAAAGCTACATTTGTATGACATATATTTTAATTTTAAAAAAAGTTTATACGAATTTTTAAAATATAAAAAAATATTTTTGTAATTTAATTTAAATAGAAGAGGTCAGGTATATTATTAAAAGAAATAATTATGGTGCATCAACAACAATGATACATATTCTCAGGATCTTTTTAACTCAAGGACACCAATCGTGTTTCTTATGACATTAAATATATTGCTTAATTTTTTTTTTAAACGTACTGTTATTAGTTTAAATATTATGCGAAGGGCATCCACAATTAATGATCGTTGAGCTTAAATAGAATATATTAACTTTTTTAAGGTAATCTTTTTTTTAATCCACCCGACTTTTGTCCTTAGGGCATCCTACTGTTTGCTAGCTCATAAGCTTTTAATTGTCTCCGTTACTCTTTCTTTTATTCTGCGGCAGCAATGCTATTACACATCGTAACACAGTTAAAGGGCCATTTGGCTCCCTATTTATATCCCCCTCCATGCATTCTCAATCCTCATCCCTCTTTTTCTCAAAGATCTTCATAGCCTTCTTCTTCTTCTTTTTCTGTTTCTGTGTTTACTTCTGCAGCAGCCATGGTGGTTCTATCCCACTCCTCACTAAGCCAGTTCTTACTCCCCAACTCATGCATGCCAACGAACACCTCAAGTTTCCTCAATGAAATCCCAGAAATTGACCTCTCTGACCCACAGGCCAAGACCCTTATCGTCAAAGCCTCCCAAGACTTGGGTTTCTTCAAGCTCGTCAACCATGGCGTCCCATTCGACCTCATCTCCAACCTCGAAACCCAGGCTCTCAATTTCTTCGCACTTCCTCAGCCTCACAAAGACAGATTAGGCCCTCCCGACCCCTTTGGCTATGGCAACAACAAAATCGGCCCTAACGGAGATGTCGGTTGGATCCAGTATCTTCTTCTCAACATCAACCCTGAAGTAGTCTCTCCCAAATCTCTCTCCATTCTCCAAGAAAACCCAGAAACTTTCCGGTAAAATTTCCACACAAAAAACAGAGTCCCCTGTTTCTCACTTTCTTCTCTTCCAAATCATCCCTTTTTTTACCTCTTTATCTGAGAAACCCCACAAAATTGTGAATTTTCAGGCGTGCAGTGGAGGAATACATATCCGCAATGAAGAATATGAGCTGTAAAGTTCTGGAATTAATGGCGGAAGGTCTGGGGCTGGAACAGAGGAATGCATTCAGCAAGCTTCTGAAAGACGAAAGTGACTGCTATCTCAGGCTGAACTATTATCCGCCATGTGAGGAGCTTGAAGGAATGAAGATTGAAGGAAAGCTGATAGGTTTCGGAGAACACACAGACCCACAAATCATCTCTGTTCTGAGATCGAACGCCACGTCTGGTCTGCAAATCTGTATGAAAGATGGAACCTGGGTTTCAGTTCCACCTGATAATACTTCCTACTTCGTCAACATTGGCGATTCCCTTCAGGTACGTGCCAAGCTTTTCATTCTCCATATTACATTTAAAAAAAAATCTAATTTTGATATATATATATATATTTATATAGGTTATGACAAATGAGAGGTTTAGAAGTGTGAAGCACAGAGTGGTGCCAGACACAAGCAAATCGAGATTGTCTATGATATATTTCGTTGGACCAGCTTTGAATGAAAAGATAAGGCCTCTGCCTTCTCTTATGAGCAACCAAGAAGAAAGCTTGTACAAGGAATTCACATGGTACGAGTACAAGAATGCTGGTTCCAAGACCAGGCTTTCTCATGATAGGCTTGCCCTCTTCCACAAATCTTCACCCTCCTGTTAACTTAGAGAGAGAGAGAGAGCTAGTTATGGGCTCTTTTGTCATATTGAGAATGTGGTCTTATGAAACAAGTTTCTGAGAGTTTGAGGTAGCCTGGCCTAGTACTGTTTATATATTTATGGTATGAGGAATTCTAGGTTGTTTGGTTGGTTACTATCTTACGCGTCGTTGTTATTATCTTTAGTATTTCTCAGTCACATATCTGTAATAGGCAATACCTTTCCATGTGAATGTGAAATATCTGTGGAGTTATATTATTGGAATGTCTGAATTAATTATTTGATGGCTAGATTATGGTGATGATTAATGATCACGTACGTCAAGCAAAGAGAGAAAAGAGTGGATACAATTAGTGTTGTTTGGTGTTTCAACGTTGAAGTTCTCATTGGGGGGGACTCATATTATGCGTATTGGTCTCATTAATTTCTTAATTCAAGTGGTTGCCCACCAAATTACTTGCATTTTCTCCTCTAATTTTCTTATTTCAAGTAAAATAATACACCCTTGTTTGGCGCTGCTGACGTGCACAATAACGATGTAGTCAACATAAAAAGAAACTAGTATTTCTTTTTTTTTATTTAAAGAGTATGCATGGTATGAGATTATAAGTGTGATCAAAATTTATGCAACTTTCTATTTATAAGTGAGTTTTCATGCTACTAGACCATCGATGGAAAGAAACTAATACTTTTCTGATCCTTAATATAAGACATATTCAACTAATTTGACTAGATTAAGAAAGTTAGCTAAGTTAGTTAACTATAAGAAATATGATATATTTTTCCTAAAACACCATAATTATCTTTCTTAATATCCTCCTTCCCTCAGTTACTTGATTATGGCTGAGAGAGTATCTATAAAGGTAATTTAGGAAAAATTGATAAATATGAGAAATAGATCTTATATTTAGGATCAAAATTAACTTAACAATTGGGTCTTATATTAAAGACCGGAGGAGTATTTCTTTTTTATTTAAAGGGTAAGCAATAATAGCTTGAAATTATAAGTGGATCAAAATCTGCAACATTCTACCTATAAGAGAGGTCTCATGCCACTAAGTGGTGAGTAGAAAGAAACTAAGATTTGATTTGTTATGTTTTAAAAGTTTTTGTTATGTTACCCAATTATGTTTTTGTAAAATATTTTTATGCGGGTGCCATGGTTATTCTTTTATCTATTCAGCTTAATTATTTATTTTTATTCTCCTTTATTTTGCTACCTAATAATTCTTTCAGGAATAGCATGAATGAGTACTTTCTTCACCTTTTTTTATTAGACATTTCTTTCTTATTATCCTTAGTACGAAACTTTTTATAAAAATAAATGAAATTTGGATGACTCATTCCAAAAATACATATTTCTTTAACACTCTCTCATCTTGATTAAGCATAATTTTAGAAATTGTAATATGTTTTACACTTCACCTTCTTTCATCAATAAAAACTAGTTAATGAGCCCTTATGGGAAAGATAAAAAGAGTATGAAGAGAATAAATGATAAATTCTAATACACAAATGTTAAATTTTTTTGGTGACATCTTTGCAAAATAATGATAATATGATTGGAGTAACTAATACTTTTATAGAGTCGAGACCATATATTTGAGTATGAGTGTGCAAAGGAAAATACATAGATACGAGATATACATTGTACATGTGGAAAATTAAAAACTCATAAATATGACATATAAGAAAATTGCTACCTCTAAATGTATAAAAATCCAAAAAAAAAATATTTTTATGATTCCTATAACAAGACAATGAAATTGACATGTCAGATGTAACTTATTGCGCCTGTTTGATTACAATGGGTAAAAATTGTTTTCTTAAAAGTGAGAAAAAATGTTTGAATATTTGTTGTCTATTGTCTTATTTTCAAAATTATTTTACTATAGAAAAATAAGAACAACTTGTAAATTGTTTCTGTTCCCATCTATCATTGACCATCGTTGATCATCATTAACTACAGCTATAATCATAGTTGACCACTGCCTTTGTTGACCGCTTCATACTCAAAATTTAACTAGTTTCAAACGAGATTTTGCGAAGGAAAAAAAATCTTTCTATTTTTCATATGTAATTTCAAAATAAAATTGTTCAAATATATTCATTGATTTCTCATCAATAATCAAACTTATACTCCAAAAAGTAGCTACCCAAAACTATTTTAAAAACGTAAAACAGCATCAAGAAACAAGCTTGTAGTCTTATATATTTTGTATTTTTATTCGCATTTCTTTCTATTTTTCAGTCAAACTACACATTTTTTTGTGCATTATGTATATAGAATGAAGTGAATTTTACTATTTACAATAATAATTTATTTATCATATGCTACCTCTAGTCCCTAAAATACGAACTATTTGGAAGTTAAATTTGGTATAAATATGACATCTCAATCAATCCTATCTCTTATATTTATCATATTTCTCTAAACAAAATTACCTAATTTATAAGTTAATATATAATCTAATGTTATTCATAGGTATTCTAGCTAGTGAAGATCTAAGTCAAATTTATTTTAATTAACTAATTCACTAGACTCTCTCAACTTACATAAATTATTTAAGTAGCTTTTATATTAAATAGCAGATGAGTAACTTTTTATAAATTCTATATTTTATATTTATAAAAAAATAGGATAGGGATGAGAAGATACACACACTAGCTTTAGAAGTGGTCTCTTTCTTTCTCTCTCCTGAAAAATGGAAGATTCTTAGAGACAAGAGAGGGAGAGAAATGTACTTGAGCTTAGTGGAATGTCTGTAGTCGCAAGGGTCAAATCGCTATCATGGCATAAATCCTCCCAAGTGATGTTATGGTCCAATAAATCTATACATATCAAAGAACGAACGGAGAGAAAATCAAATAGAAGAACATTTAACTGTTTGATAATTTTCAATTTTTCCCCTGTATATTTTCTTTAAAAATATCTTATTCAATAATTTATTTGAGTAAATAATAGCTAGAATCCAAACTCGTTTGTGGTTGCCCATCCAAATGCATCATTTTATTCTTCAGTGTTCCCAACGTGCCTTACGAATTCAGCTTATCTCCATTCTAAATGTTTGTCCTTATTTGTGCCCCCATTGTACCCAAATGGCTATGCAATTTAGGCCGTCATTATTGCTTAAGTTCAATACCTATGCCTTTTTTCTTGTATAGAAAACATTGTATATTGAAATGTTATCAACTAATTAGCACAAGTTAAGAAGATATCAATTCTTGAGAACAACACCACGTTAGATCACTCAAATTGTCTCAATATTTTTGGCATTCTTAATCACATCAGAGCCGTGTAAAGGAAATTTTTTTAATGGTCTTCTTCTCCATTCAAATTACAGTCATATCTTGACATGGGATATCCATTCACTAACTATGATTTTTTTCTAGCCATTCTCTATGTAAAATTGATGTTTTATTAATTTCACATTTCTTGAATTATAGTATACCTATTTTAATTTTAATTATTACATCAACAGATATAGATAACAACAATATATATAGTTATATATTGTGTTCATATAAACTCAAACTCGAAACTTCATGCTTAAACGATCAAACGACCAAAGTTCCTTCCACTGGCTATCAACGCATGTTAGTACCTGTTAGAATTTTTATAGGCTAAAGTATATATTTAATCTTTTAATTTTATATAAGGTTTCAATTTGGTCTCTTAACTTTAAAAAGCATACATTTGGTCTTTTAACCTTAAAATCATTAGGCTTCAATAATGATTTTTTATAACAATAATGGATATTTTGAAAATTAAACTTAATGCATATGTTAGTACTTGAGAATATTTTATCAACATTTAAAATCTTAATCTTATTATTTTTTAAAAAAATTTTAGAGTTAAAGGACTAAAAACATACTTTTTAAAGTTGAGGGACCAAATTAAAACTTTATACAAAGTTAAATTATATAGTTATAATTTATTTATTTAAGTTTAATAAATTTCAAGCTAATTGAGAAAGCACAACATATGATTTTGATTAAATTATACATCATACATGGTAATAAATATTCAAAGCATATAGCCACATTTGCAAATTTCGACGACTTAGTTATGAAATGGCAGAACATTAATTAGAGACACGTTGATAATTGATTGTGGTCCATGGTGTGACCTACTTTCTGAGACAAACCAGAAACATACATTTGACATTCTTCTCCGCCACGATGCATTGAATCTGATTCTGATCACTCTTTTATGACTTCTCAAAGTGTTTCTGTGTGTTATCTGATGTGATAGTCCTCATATATTATTATTCATTTATTAACAAACATATAGCAACTATATTACTCCTCCGATCCTTAATATAAGATCTATTTAACTAATTTGATTAGATTAAGGAAGTTAAGTAAGTTAGTTAATTATAAAAAATATGATACGTTTTTCCTAAAACACCATAATCATCTTTCTTAATACCCCCTCTCCCTCTTCTACTTGATTATGGTTGAAGGAGTATCTATAAGGGTAATTTAGAGAAAATTGATAAATATGAGAAATGGGTCTTATATTTAGGACCAAAACCAACTCAAGAATTGGGTCTTATATTAAAGACCGGAGGAGTAATTATTATTATTATTTTTACATTCTCCCCCATTGATGCGATATTTCATTAAATTTTTGTGTGCTATGAAAAAGAGAGTAGTAATTGTGCCTAATGATTGCGTTTGCCAATATACGTTTTTCAGATACACAATCTAAATAGAGTGGCATGCTTTTAATTTGAATAATATTTTTCGTATAAAGGTCAATATAACTTTTTGGTATTCTAATGGTTTGTGTGGTATGTGATGATTTTTCAATGAGTCATCTCGAATTGGTATCTCTAATATCATTCTTGTGTTGAAAAATCGACTAATGCACTATATGATTACATAAGAAATTTTGGACCCAAAAAAAAAAAAAACCCTCAGAATGTGAAAGCAATGTAGTAATGGTTTAGCATATTCCCTCCTTGAGTTTCAAGTTTTGAGTTGGAGCATTGTATACTGAAAATAAGCTCAATTTTATTTGATGCGGAACTTCCATACATAAATTCAAATTAGCTAACCGTTATGATCCAGTTGACTAATTTGAGGAAGCTAAAAAAAACTAAATAAATTACTTAATTATATCATCTGTTACACGATCTTTGAAAAACTTATGTGTATCATTTTAGATCATATATTAGTTTATAAATCAATCAAATTAGTTTACAAAAAACAATAAATATAAATACTTAAAATTTTATTTAATTTTTTACTCTCTTCAAATTAATCAACTGAGTACCATGTTA